TCTATTTTAGTAACATGTACTGGGCAGTAATGAGTACATACAACAGTTTTCTGTTGTTGCTGTTCTGCTCAGTATTTATTAGGAATAGGCAATTCAGGAGAAACAACTGTTACTTTCTAGGATGTCCACAGCTAAAATGGACAGTCGGTTTCCTGGGCCAAAATAAAAGGGCCCAAGACTACACCTTGCAACAGGAGTGTGGAAGCTCTGGCCAATTAGACGTATTCCCTACCATGCCTTTCAACCCCATTCAGCATTGCCAATGGTAAGATATGGAGGGATTTAGAATTCAAAACATTTGGAAGGCAAGAAGCTCCCCTTCCCAGGTCTACAGGATGCAGGGATCCTGAAGATCCTAAACTAATCTACAAACATAGATTACAACTGCAATAGCTGGTCAACCCAACTCAGTCAATGCATTGAGTTGGGTTAATCAACATGAAAAGTGCAGCCAATGTTTCTTCCCATTAGCAGACTTTACAAGAACCTTTGTTAAGAAGCAATTTTATATATATTTTAATTGCATTTTAATTGTTCTGAATTTTTATTGTACAGTATTTTAAATGTACAGTGGGTAGTGTGGGCAGCATATTAAATAAATAAACAGACAGACAACAGACAGACAGACAGACAGACAGACAGACAGACAGACAGACAGACAGACAGACAGATAGATAGATAGATAGATAGATAGATAGATAGATAGATAGATAGATAGATAGATAGATAGATAGATAGATAGATAGATAAAACTTTCTCCTGCAGGAAAATTCATTCTCATTTTGCTATACTAGCAGCCCATACACCAGTCTTTACAAGCACTCCCTTCCTTCCTCCCACTCCCCTGTTCTATTTCTCTGCATGCAAGCTTTTTAATTCCGCAGTCTCATCTCTGAGGTAGTAGTGTTCCCACCTAACTAATGCCTGGCTTCTTAAGCTGCCTCTTAAGAATCTGGCTCAGCTTTCCTAGATGAAGCTTCTGAATAATTGGGGAAATGACTCACCCAAGTTGAAGGTGTAGGCCTGAAAAGCCTGTGGGATCCCTGCAACAGGGAGACAATAACCAAAAAGTGTTGGAAATCACAACAGCAATGCTGTAGTGAGTAAGACATTAAGGGAGGTGGGCAGCAAATGGCAGAGAGATAGCCAGATGGGATTCGCTCATCATAGAATCATGAAATTGGAAGAGGCCTAAAAGGCCATTGAGTCCAACCCCCTGCTCAAGGCAGGATTACAAATCAAAGGATATCTGTCAGGGGGTTGTCTAAATTTCTCTTGAATGCCCTCAGTGTTGGAGCGCTCACCACCTCTCGAGGTAATTGGTTCCACCGTCTTACTGCTCTAACAGTTAGGAACCGAAATCTGGCTTCCTGCAACTTCAGCCCATTGTTGTGTGTCCTGCACTGTGGGGGATGATTGAAAACAGATCCTGCCCTTCTTCTGTATGTCAGCCATTCAAGTATCTCTCCTATCTTGTCCAATGTTTTGCTCCCTAAAAGACTACTCATTTAATATGTAGATTGCTGCCCTGAGGGATTACTTCCTGCTTCACTGCAGATGGTATCTTGCCCTCTCTTTACATGGCTGCTCAGATACCCTTGTAGAAGCCAGCTTTAGAGCCTTCAGTAAACAAGTCTAGGTATTCTCCTTTTCTCCTACTGCCTCCACCTGGATAGGTTTCCTAAAACAGTAAGCATTCAGATTAGTTACCTCTGTTTCATAGCTGTTGCATTCTGCTAGTATAAACACTAAATATTCTCATAGTAAGGACTACAGTCATATCGTTAAGAATGGTATCTAGGCGGTTGCAAGGAACTACTCTCTGTTTTGTGTATATAGGGCAAATGATTCTCAGTTTTTAATAGGTGATACTGAAAGAGAAATGTGATTTTGACACTGATTGATTCCTCCTATAGTTCCTCTTAGCCATCCCTCTAAGTAAACCACAAACCATTACATCCCTCAAGGCCAGAAAACAGTGTATTATATCTAATAGACAGCAGTGATCTTTATTATTCTGTGAGATGGCTTTTTTAAAAAAATGATTTAGTGGAATATTAGAAAGCAGTATTTTTGTAGCAAAGTATGTACTGCTATCAAGTACTGCTTAGCTTCTCTACAAGTCCACCGTACTGTATATAATAAAAGCTTCCCTCTTGTGCTTTACACTTCCAACGCACATTTGACACCTCTGTATAGTCTTTGACAGTTTTTTTCCAGTCATATACCACCTATATAACTTCTTATATATGTTCTCCTTAAAATTTATCGATGTTGTGAGCTTTATATTACTTTTCCATATTTACTACTAATGATCAATATCAATATTACGTCCTATATTTTGTGCCACCTAATCATACATTAGGTGGCACATTAAAAGGGACGTGGTGGCGCTGCGGGCTAAAACGCAGAAGCCTGTGCTGCAGTGTCAGAAGATCAGCAGTCGTAAGATCGAATCCACGTGACGGAGTGAGCGCCTGTCACTTGTCCCAGCTCCCGCCAACCTAGCAGTTCGAAAGCATGCAAGCAGATAAATAGGGGCCACCTCAGTGGGAAGGTAACAGCGTTCCGTGTCTAAGTCGCACTGGCCATGTGACCACGGAAGATTGTCTTCGGACAAAACGCTGGCTCTATGGCTTGGAAACGGGGATGAGCACCGCCCCCTAGAGTCGAACACGGCTGGACAAAAATTGTCAAGGGGAACCTTTACCTTTACCCAATCATACATTATTTTACAATCTCATCTTGCATTTTAGATTCGAGCAGATAATCATCCATTTTCTTAATTACCTTCTCATTTGAGCAACGTGACCACGGAAACTGTCTTTGGACAAACACTGGCTCTATGGCTTGGAAAGGGGGATGAACACCACTCCCTAGAGTCAGACAGGACTTGATTAAATGTCAAGGGGAACCTTTACCTAGGCCTATTTGAATTAATCAAATGTATGGAGAAGTTTACTCAATAGATCCCATTGAATCAGTGAGCCTAATCTACTGAAATTTACTGCACAAAGCAACAGGATTTTGGCCAATGAGGGATAACATCACTATTGTTTAGGTTTAAGTATAACTAGTTTTCTTAGTTTTAGAGTTACAAGGGTTGTGGGACCATCACATAGGTGGGTTTTGAACCACAGTCTGGTGATGGTTTTAGCATTCTGGTGTTTTTTTAAAAAAGTAAATAGCAAGAAACTAAACTATTACTTCTTTAAAAACAACAATAATGTACTTTACCCCAAGGTTTCACAAGTACAGCTCTAACTAGTCAGTTTTTGAAAGTAACTTTCTGTCTTCTACCCATTTGGTGGGAAATCCCTATTCCTTGAACCATCATTTCAAGGCTGGGATGATTGTTCACCAGCTTGTTTCGCCAATGTCACTTGTGTCATTTGAAACAAGAAATGCAGTCCAAGTTAATCTTGTATTTGTGCACGTAAACAAATGCTAGAGCTACCTGGAAAGGGAGAAGCAGATCAGCTGATAGGAAGACTGCTGACCAAGAGTGTTCGAAGGACACAAATCACAGTGCTGCACCATTGGACAGCATTTTAAAGAAGCAAAGCAAAAGCAAAGAGTCACTTGGGGTGAAGGGAAAACACCACCAGTCCCAAGTACTGTATCTGCCATATTTAGTGATTGCTACTGCTGGTGAAAACTATAAGGACAGGCCAAAGAATGTGGATATAGCACACACAATTCTCCTTTTGAACATTAAAATCACCAGTGGAAGGCCATTTGGGATTCTCAACCAGCATCCAAAAAGACATGCATAATCAGGTTTGGACTATGTTCATTTCCTCTAACCCATCATGGCTAGGGAAAACAGATTTTCCTTGAGGGCTACCAATTCTACTGAAGAATTGTGGACAAACAACTGTAAAGCCAAGTATCACAATCCTCTACCCAAGACCAGTGAATCCCAACAGTAAGCACCAGTCAGGGTGCGCAAAAGTCCAATTTTGCTGGAATGACCTGCCAGAAAAAGAATGGCTGAAATCCTATTCTGTATGTGATGTCCTATGTAAGGCTGATGACACAATCAGCCACAGTGATTTTTCAGAACTAAAACATTTTTGCCATCAGCTTTATGCTGCATTAATATAGGCAACAGGATTTCAGCCAATATCTGTTTTCCTTTAAAATAGGTATTGGGGGCTCCTTCTTAATTTACAAGTACAATCATGCTGAAACCAATAGTTTTCATTCATTCATTCATTCATTCATTCATTCATTCATTCATTCATTCATTCATTCATTCATTCATTCATTCATTCATTCATTCATTCATTCATTCAACTTTTATACCACCCATCTGGCTGCAAGGCCACTTTGGGCAGTTTACAACATACTAAATGCCCTCACAAGTGAAGCTTTCCTTTTCATTCCTGCCTCTTGCAGTCCCTTATGACGCTTCTTGTAAAACATCTCTAGAGGGTTCAGAGTCACTACCCAGCTCTTTGAGTTGTATCTTAGAGCAGTGTATCAGAAATGAGTAACTGCCTGAAATACTGGTGGAGGAATGTTGCACTGCTCATGCATGGACGGTGCCCAATTCTGGGCAGTTCCTCCTTTCCACTGTAGCCCTTAAGATACAGCAGTCATCCCCCGTCCTGCTAAAGAGGCCGTGTAGTGAATGCAGATGCTACAAGGAGCTGGAAGGCAAGATTTGTTTTACATAGTTCTCTTCCTCTAATATAGGACGGAATTTCACCCTTTCTTTTCTAAGACCTCCATTCCCCTCCCACAATACAGGAATCCTGAATCCATACCTGTAACCAGGTTCTTTCATTTTCTTAAAAAAAAAAATCTAACCACAGAGAAATACAGGAGGAGGCAGACTCTTGCTCTTCCCTTAGCAGACCTTGCCATTTTCAGGCACTAGAGCCTACTATCACAAGGCAGATGAGACTCAGACAAGGCAAAAGCTCCACCGAGAAAGTCACAGATATCCTTATTCCCTTTTGAAATAACGCCTCGAATGCCCAACCCAACATTACCTTTTCTGCTTCTTCTCGGCTCATGGCGAGGGCGAGCTGGAGTTGGAGCTCTTCTTCACCCGTTGTCTGTGGTCTGGCCTGTTCCAGATCAGAACTGAACTGAGGGGATGAGGAAGAGGCTGAAGGACAAAGCAGAAAGGAGTGAGGCTGGCAAAGTGAATGGGACTCAGCTGGCGTCTCTTGAACATCGCCTGGCATGTTCTTAAGAGAGTAGGAGTGGAAGGACCCACTGTACCCAGCTTAAAGTAAAATGCTATGCAGAAACATTTTCTCTCCTCTGGGTCTTTCCTTCACCCTCTCTATGGAAACTCACTCCTCCTCTCTCTTCCTAGCTGGTGCTCCTTTTTCCCCCCTTTCTGCTATCCTTTTCTTTCTTCCTCCCCCACTTCCTCTTTTCTCCACCCTCCAACTTCGCCAGTCATCAGGAAGACAAATCCTTCATCCCATGGGTCTGAACTGATCACTTTAAAAAAGCCTAGGTAACAGGGTATTTATTTATTTATTTAGTTAGTTAGTTAGTTAGTTAGTTAGTTATTTAGTTATTTAGTTATTTAAACTATTACTCGGCCTTTTGGCTAAGATCAAGTGTAGTATCTGTTCTTATCAGTGCATAGCATTTTACTTTGATAACTCCTGTTCTTTTATGTTTCCCAAGAAAGGAAAGAGCCAGAGGAGAGAAAATGTTTTTGCATAGCATTTTACTTCGATAACTCCTGTTCTTTTATGTTTCCCAAGAAATATCCTTGAATCTGACAAAAAAAGAGCATTAAGTGTGTTGCTGAGGCTCAATGAAGTACATTAATTTGGCTAAGTTAATGGATGAACAATAAGAAAAGAACAAATGTGTGGGGCCCAGAGGTTTGACACTTCTTCCCAACAGAAGTCTCTCTTTGCCATTGTCAGCATTATTATCTCCTCAGTCTTGTCATATGGCATGTCTGCTTTATGGAACTGCAATGCAATCCTGTATATGTTTAACAATGAGGATGAGGATGTGCCTTCAAGTGAATTCTGGCTTATGGTGACCCTTTCTGGGGTTTTCTAGGTAGAGAACACCCATAAGTGGTTTACCCATCTTCAGGGGGTGCCATGGGACTGTGCAGTTTGCCCAAGACCACACAGGCTGGCTGTTCTCCCTGGAGGCACAGTGAGGAAACGCAAGCAAATCCCAATAGCATGTCAGTGCGCACAAGCAAATCTCAATTGCAGGTGAATGTACATACAATCACAACATCAAAAGTGCAATCCCAATGCTTCTGTAAAGCCTCATTTAACCTCACCATGGAGGAAATGTGAATAGATGGTGATTATACTGCATCACACTGGTTTTAAAGTAATCTCCTTTGCTCAGGGAAACCTCACTGGATGTACCCATAGTGAAAGGAAGGAAAATTAAAGAAGAACTGAGTATGAATGTTTGAGACATAACTGCAGCTGCCAGCAGAAATTCTAAGGAATGGAATCCTCCAAGATAAACATGGCCTGGCTGATTTGTGATCACATCAGCACTGGCTCTAATTCACTCTCCCAAATGGCTTATTTACATATTGGGAAAACAGGTGGGAAAAAAGAGAGGCAGAAATATGCGAGATTAAGGGTTGATCTATACTCACATCATTGTGGCTGCTTCTTCAACTGCAGCTTGTCATGCACAGAGATGCCAGTTGCCCCAATTATGTTGCCATACATAACCCATGCAAAGAAAGTGAACATTCTCTTCAGCCTAATCATGGCACATGTAATTCAGAGGCAGAAGCAGATGTGTTATGAAGTGGGCTCAAAGACCACTTCACAATTTACTACCATCTTAAAACAAAGGTACTTTTTTTTTGCAGAAGTTAGTATGATACCCATATGGAAATTATAATGTGTGACAGCTGCACAGGTATAATGTATGTGCTCTGAGGGCCTGGAATGAATCACCAGTTGCCAATGGTGATTGGCAACATGGCACCTTTTATGTGTGTTGAACATATCTAAACAAATGTAACTCAGCCTAAATCCAGTTGCGAGAGCCAACAAGAGTAGACTCACTGACTCAATGGGAATGTGGTAAGTCAACTCTTAGATGAATTTCATTCCATTGATTTAATGGGTCTACACGTATTGGCAATACACTAGATTTAGGCCATTGTGTGTGCAGTCGTCTTCTGTGTTGAATATGACTTCTCTCTCATAGGAGTGCCTTAAAATTAATAATGTAATGTGGTTATGGAGAAAAATCATATTAAATTAGTACACAACTAATTCTAGTGATCATGGGGTGGCAGACAGTGAAGAAAGAAAAGGCTCCTACATGTGTCACAGCTCATAGTTTCTTTCCATTGACCCCCCCTTGCACATTCCTCCCACCTGTATTCTATTTGCAACTACCAACATTAGTTTGATCCTGCCAATGTTTGTTCCTTAGTCTCAGTGAGAGTAACATGATAAATCATCTCCCACACATACAAAGACCACCAGCATGTTCTGAAAATTCTTAAATGTAACCCATTTACATTGCATATTGATTCCACCCAATAGTCCATGGTGTTGACAAACAACTCAGCCCCCAGGAAACTCGGAATATTCACAAATGATACTAGATGTTCATTCAGACACCCACTGGCAAAAATACTGGCTAGAAATACAGCTACATGTCTTGAAACATCAGGGAACAGGCAACTTGCACATGCTGGGCTACTCTACTCACAATTGAAGGAGGATGGGGAACCCCTTGACCTGCTGTAGTCATCTCCATACTGTGATGCTCGCCGTCCATAGGAAATCTGCTGGCTGTTGCTGCTGCTGATACCCATGCCCTCAAGGGACATCCGCTCTTTGGTTTTCAAAGCATAGGCTCTCTCCTGCTTCAGCCTCTCCTCATCTTTCAGCAAGCTCATAACCTGCTTCACCTTTTCTCGTACATTAATACCCTGGTCCTTGCCATCACGGTCTATGTACTGGAACTCTTTTAAGGTCTGGATGGTGTACAGGTTTTCCCGGCACTGATGAGCCACTTTCTCTGAGCCTGTTTTGATGAGGTAGTCCAGAAGAGTCAGAGCTTTGTAGACATGGCGCCAGTTCTTGCCATTGTCGTTAAGCCGCCTCCAGATCATGCCCATGACTTCTGCAAATGCCACTGTGTTGAAGGTCAGGTCTGCAATCTCAGACATTAAGGAGCTTGGTGGCCCCCATGGGTCATTAGAGGTGGCCTCACGTACCTTGATTTCTGCCTCAGAATAATTATGTACGATGTTTTTTACCTGTCGACGTAATGCAGACGTAGTCATGGCTGCACCTCGGAGAAAGAACTCACTTAGCAGAAGGAAATAAATGTAGCAAAAATTTAAAAAACCAGTTTGATCAGTTGAAAGGTGTTAATTCTTCCGCTGGTATATTGTCCTAGAAAACAAGTCAATATGTTAGGTCTGTTGACCATTTTAGACTGTCATTTTTTAAACCTGTGTCCAGTTAGTCAAAATAGGTCAGATTTCTCTCCCTCAGCTTCCTCCTTTCCAGGATTGTTTCTCTAGTATCTAGAGGAATGATAAGATAAGTGATAAGATACTTCTAACCAGCCACCTTAACTCACTGCAGACCTTGGTTATGTTGATGGTGGAGAACCTATGGTCCTCTAGATGCTGACAAACTGCTATTTCAACCATCCCTCACCACTGGCCAATCTGGCTGGGCCTCTGCCTCTCTCTCTCTCTCATTGTATTTGTAATTTGCCATAAATAAATGAGGATTGATGGGAAGGGGATAATGACCTTCTGGCTCTATTGATAAATACTGGGAAAAACTGCCTCAGCTGCAGTCCAGCACAGAGTACAGTACTTCTAACCTAATTCCCATAGAAAGGGAGAGATCCCAAAATCAATAGGAAATCTGCACAAACTTTATCTTGATCTAAGTGACAAGGAATTATCTATCCCTGCTTCTGACTCAGCAATACTGAGAGATGTACTGAGTAGCAATACTGAACGTTTTCTGACTGGCTCGGTCTCACAAGAGACTTCTTGCCCACTCAACCATATGTGCACACCGGTCTTGATTCATTTTAGATGTTCTGTGCATGACAGCAAGAGCTGCCAGGTTGGCCACCTGGAAATTATTGTTTTCTCTTCAGAGATGCTGACAATGCTTTGGGCCTGAGGCACTATGCTTGAGAGAGGCTTCATCCTTACTGGACAAAGTTTTATTCTTTCTGATATGGAAGGGATTATTAGAGAAGCTTAAGTCAAATTTTGGCTGAGAGTAATGAGGATAGGATCTAAAACTTCTGTCTAATTAAACTAATCTCTGTGCATTTATTTTATGCTTGTGGATTCTATTTACAACATTTGATTAATTTGGCTTTTATCTGAACGAATTCTGTGGTGAGGTCTATGGACTGGATCAATAAAGGTACCCATCTTCTTAAAAGTCCAAAACAGATTTGGGGCAGCAGTCTGTCTCAGCATTGTCCATAAGTTTTTGAAAGGCAGACCGGGAGAACCACAAGGTCTGAGGCAGTCCATGAGGAGATGGTCCTTTGGTGGGTTGTTTCCTCTAGGACTTGACAGCTGTTCTCCATGGCAACAGTGCTTCAAGGAGTTTAGAAACCCTCTTAGATTCTCACAGTGTCTCAGAGCAATGCCCAGTTCTGGCATTATGGCTAAGGTGCAGCTGTCCTGATGCAATTTGACATGTTACTGCCATCAAGTAAATCTTCCCAGGTCCACTAACGGAGGTCAACATTCAGGGCACAAGGTCAGAATGCTATTTTTCACAAGTGGGGGCCAAGCTAAGCATGGGTAGTGGGTTTTGTTGGTATTTGCACCTGCCCAAAGATCCTAGGTGCTGGAGCTGGCCCTGATGGCAAGACATACAGGCACTCAAGCTTTATAGCTATACCATGTTTGCATGCTGCCTCTGCCCTGAGTGTCACCTCATCAATCTCCTTCCCTCCTCCTCATCTCATAAGAGTGTGAAATTCTTTCCTCCCTCAGCTGTTGCAGTATGTTGCTTGGGTCCTGCCTCTGAGGGAGCATATCTCCAGATTGCCATCCTGGCAGCTCTAATAGTGGAGAAAGGAAAACAAGCTCACAGCTCGCTACTGCCATGCTCCACTGTATAGAGAGGACCTACATAACACAACACTCTCTGTAGATGTCAGTGGGGCCAGCTGACATTGAGCATTCCTCAGATTCCTGATCCTAAATGGGTTTATGGGCCAATGGCTCCACTACTGCAGGTCTGTGGTTTGCAAAGTGTGATAAGAGGGAACCCTGAATTTCCTGTAAATCTGTCCAGGAGCTCCTTAATGACAAGATGAGAAAAAATGGGCAAACATCCCCAGGAACCAACCGCCCAGCCCCTGCCAACCTTTTCCTTCAATATGCAACCGCAAGAGAGTAGTGGGTGTGCTTGTGAAACTACATTCTCAGTTTAACACAAGGTGGGCAATCTAGGACATGGCCCAAGCCCCTCAACAATGTACCAAGGTTCCTTAGGAGTGAAAAGGACAAAGCAATTCCCCTTGAAATGATAACGACTGGGGGGGGGCAGAACCTCAACGATTTGAGTTGCAGGATATATTAGGGTGATTTTTAGATATAATCTTACCTTATATCAGCTCATTAGCCCGACTAAACAGCTGGCCCATATTTCAACTGATTTGTTCTTAAGAAGTGTTATTCTATACACTTTTTTTCAAATATGACAAAAGTTACTTCTTTGGACTACACACTCTACAATATCCCAGCCATGCTGATTGGGGTGTTTTGGAAATGTAGTCCAAAAATATAATAATTGTTCTCCTCTCTGCATTGTTTTTGTCTTAATCTTATGCATATCTGAATTGTTTCTTATCAGGAAAAGTTGTCCAATAAATTTTAATTATTTAATTAAAGCTTATCTGAAACAGGTCAAGCCATTTTCATGTGCTATAATAATACTGTATGTCCAATCTGACCTCAGGAAACTTTTCTCCCATATTCCAAGTATGGCAGCTAATTAAACCTCTCCGCCAGGAAGCAAATCCTGTCAGTTGAGTTCATCATCATTTGTATGAAAATATGTCACATAAAGCATCTTCACTATTTGAATTTGGATACTGAACAAATGAGTGTGTTTATTGTGAAACCTAGTTTTTGGCAGTTTATATTTTGTTGCTTATAAATCTGTTTTTAATAATGCTTTTAGCTAACATTTTTAATATAATGTTATTAATTTTTCTTTATATTCGCCTAATTTGCTGTTTTTAGCTTTTAATATTGTGTTTTTAATGATGTAAAACACCTGGGACCTTTAAAGTTGAACAAATGAGTGTGTTAATTGTGAAACCTAGTTTTTGGCAGTTTATATTTTGTTGCTTATAAATCTGTTTTTAATAATGCTTTTAGCTAACATTTTTAATATAATGTTATTAATTTTTCTTTATATTCGCCTAATTTGCTGTTTTTAGCTTTTAATATTGTGTTTTTAATGATGTAAAACACCTGGGACCTTTAAAGGCAGGGTAAATTTTTTTTAAATGAATACATGTCATAATAAGGGATGTCATGTAAGCTTCAGTAAAGTCACCTTAACTTTTCCAGTAGCCTTTGAAATTCTACCATCAAAATAAAAATTGGAGGAAATATCAAGGTTTTTTTTAAGTCTGTCGAGAAAACCAAGCCGCTCAGAGTGGTCGCATAGACCAGATGGGTGGGTTACAAATCAAATCAAATCAAATCAAATCAAATCAAATCAATCAATCAATCAATCAATCAATCAATCAATCAATCAATCAATAAAATAAAAAGATTTAATGAATTTATTTTCAGTTGTTTCTCAATAAATCCAAGCCAGCTACTGAGGACAAATAGATGTCAGCTGCTGTCAGTTTGTTTACCTCATCACTTGCAACACGAGTCTTCCTGGAATTCAGATGCTTCATTTTCATGATGCCATCTCTACCATCTCATATCACTCAGAATTAAGCTTCTACTTACAAATTTTCATTTTCCTCATGACTGAAAATAGGTGGCCATGGAAGTGCACACCCAGGAAGTATGTGTGACTCCCCATACCAGCAAAATGAGTCACATATCCTAAGACTCTATTGGGCCACTCTACCTTTTGCAGCAGCCCTGGCTGGGCCATTACCTCCTTCATTGAAGGAAGGCATGAGACATCCTTCCCCACCCGGTGAGTAGCATCATTTATTGTGAGTCAGGAAGAGAAAATCTGGAAACTGCATGCATGTACGGCTTGCAGAGTTTCTTTCAAGATACTTCCCTGTATTGATTGCAGTACACAATCCAGCCCAGTTACTGTTTTTAGATTCTGGTTGAGCTACACACCAAGAAAATGACTGCAGCCAAGCACAGCAATGTTTGGAAGGGGAGGGGGTGAAGAGACTATACATTTTTATGGTTAGCTAAAAATGAAGGCATTGGATAAGAGATTGTGGCCATCTGCACATGAACCAAATGGGCTGATCAGTACTAGATTATTCAGACAGAGTCCCCTTCTCATGGCATATGCTAATACGCCTGGACCAGCATTGTGGCCACTGCAGAACAGAAGCTGTGATAACTCATGATTAGTCAGCATATGAGATTGTCAAAAATTGCAGGGAGAATGAACACTGGAAATTGCCTCACACTATTTGCCCACTTCTAGCCCAGTATTATGGATTGCAATGTTGGGGAACATGCAGCCTTCCACATACAGGACTAAGCAATGTTGAGGGAGACTACAATTCCCATATTCTGACACAGGGATTCTGGGAGATTAACTTTAAAAATTACCTTTGGTAAGCTTTGTTCAGATACGGTTGGACTTGACCTTCCACCAACCCTCACCTTTCCCTATTCTGGCTAAGACTAATGAAACTCAGCATCTATCAGCCTTTGGCAGATCACATGCTTTCTGCCCTTGTTTTACTTTTGACAGCCTGCAGAAATCCAGAGGTCTTACTCTGGCCTTGTCTGAAGGTAGATACATCTGAATACAGAGTGTGTGTCCCAGCAGTGAGCCCCCTTCCCTGTTTGTGCAGCCATAAGAACAGTATGTGTGCCTGTGTGCACACACACACGCTGACGCACAAAAGACAGTGTGAAGTCCTGAGTAGAATTCAAAAGGCCAAAAGGAGGTTGTAAATGATTCATGGGATCACAGCGAGCATCATGGGGTAATCAATGAGGAAAGAGAAATTAGCTACCGAAATACAAATCATAGTGGCCACCAGAGAGAAGGAAACAAAGGAAAGAGAGAAGGAAACCTGGTTTCAAGCTGCTTCAGACTAACACAGGTACCTCTTCCAAATCTTCAGAATCGGAGAATCTACGGGCAGCAGAGATGCCAGCAGAGGGAGAAAGGCACAGACTGAAGAGAACACAATCCCATGGGAACAACTTTGGGTGGGCAGAGCAGCATTTCGTCTAAGGCAGCAAAACACATGCCAGTCAGATCCAGAGATCAGCATTCTCCTTCTGGCCTCTACAAGGTTACAGATAAAAGTTCCACCTTCCAAAAAGGACTCCGCCTCCTCCTCCTCCTCTGACAAACACTACACAACTGCTGGTGGAAAAGTCCCTTGCATGTAAGTCTTGGGTCAGGACATTCTGCTTGAGCAAACACTCTCTGTGCTAGAGAACTCCAGGCACAGGGCAGCGCTGAGTTCAATAAAGCTATGGACTAGTGCACGTGTTTTAAGAAATATCCCAGATACGCATCTTCATTATAATACATGAAAAAAATCAAATCTGCTCAATGCCGAATGGCAGGGCCTCCTGTGTTATGCCTCACCAGGGCTAGTGGCCAAATAATTGTTTTGGACTGGCACAGGTCGAGGCACAGTGCTGGAAGAAAACGTGGGTAGTCACAATCTCTTCCTGTGTCCCTGGGCATGTGCAGAGTGCCTTTCCTTCCCACTTTTGCCCAGACCTATCTAAGACTGTTCTCATGGCACAGAATATCACTGTCAAGGCCAGCAATAGCCTTGGCATTTCTCATTTCGGCCTGGGGGAAGGGGAGGTCGGAAAGGAGAGACAAGAGTGTTTGCGCCTGGAGCATTGCCAACAGTGGTTAAAAGCAGTAAGTTGTATCGAACGCAAATATCCCCAGGAACACAAAGATAGGGAAACAGAAACCCGTGTGGTAGATAAGACAGCAGCGCCAGGCAGCCACATATGAAATTACTGCAGTGACCTTGAATAAAAGAACTGTCAGGTGAAGGAGGGCAGGCCGGAGAAGAGGCAGTGGCCCAGAGCTGCCAAGAGACTCTTGTGTGGTTAGGGCATATTCCAAGGGGGGGGGGGGAGCCACAAGGCTAGTCTGGGTCCAACAAGGCAGCCACTTCTTTACTGTGTCACCTGCTGTTTCCTAGGCTACTCGCTATAACAAACCTGGAAAAGGATAAGTGTTGCATTTTTCCCCTGATTAGGACAGGTGGGTTGTACTCTAAGCAGTGTGTGTGTGTGTGTGTGTGTGTGTATGTGTGCGTGCGTGCGTGCGTGCGTGCGCGTGTACCTCACCCCAATAATTTAGAATAAGCCTTCCCTGCCCCCAATCTTCATTTGGACCCTGGGCTGCCTACGCTGTGAGGACTTGCTTAGGCCAGATCATTTTCTGGGGTGGGGGGGGTTGTGCCCATAACCCCTTACTGTACGTTATGAGATGCCTCCTATGGTTTGGTACCTTACTCGTCCCAGAGCAACACTTACTCCAAAACTGCACAGCCTCCAGTGCAGATATATTGTACCATGGGTGACATGACTGGCAAAAGGATGGTCAAAGACAAGACAGGAGAAGAAGAAAGGGGCCTCTGCCCACCTCTGTCCCTTATTAACAATGTCTCTTCATTTCTGTCCTTTCTTGTTTCTTCACTAGGCGGGGGAGGAGGAGAAGGTACAAACCCTGGGGCAGGTATTTTTGGGGAGGGTTGCATCACTTAGCACCAGACACCTTGTCAGCTCTCCACAATAGAGGGGGAAAGAAGCTAGCCAGGCCATTGATCTCTAAGAAAGAGATGGAGCAGCCAATGTGGGGTCATCAGGAATGCCCTTAACTCCCTTAGCTCCCTGTATCAGAGCTTTGCAGACAAAGCAGCTCATGCTGTTGATTTCAAATAGCATCTTCCTAAAGCTTCCCCTTGACCTGCACTTGACATTAGGATTTCTAGCCTTTGTGCCCTGGGTCAAGTTTCTGGCAGGAGTTTCCTTGCCTAGAACAAAGCTGAAGGAGATGCTCTTAATTGGAAGAACCCTTCCTTATTTTATCCCTTTTCACCTGTCCCTTGTTTTATCCCTGCCTCCTATTTTATAAAACGGTACAGAGCTATTCCTCCAGCGCATTTCAGAGAAGAGAAGGAATGAAAACCATTTCCTCCTTCTACCTCCCCGCCACGAACGCTCCTACCACAATCACCACCACCACCACCACGAAACTGCTCACCGGGAGAAGGGCTCATCACAGAAAAGTGGGAAAGATTTGATTGATAACAAAGTTCGGCAAAAACCTGGAATTGGAACAGTGGCAACAGGGACCTGATTTTAGACTGGCTTCGAGAGACAGAAAGTACATGCGTGTGTGTGTGTGTACCATGAAGATGGCAATGGGTATACTGTAGTTTTCCTTGGTTAGAAACCTCGCTTGAGACGCCTCCCTCCCTCCCATTCATTCTGCTCCGCGGGGCCCTGAACCTCCCATGTCCTGTCCTGATGGCCCCAGACAGAACACTGGGGTGGAAGAGAGGACCGCTTGCTCGGGTCTACTAGGGGGCAGGAGAAGAAAGTTTCACAGCCGGCTTGGCTTGACCCCGGAGGTGTGGGGAGGGGTGTGCGTGTGTGTGTCAGGTGAGGGCGGGGGTCTACACTCTCTCCTCACCCCTGCCTCGTGATTCGGCGCCCTCCGCGTTGGCACCGATTTACACCCCCCCTCCGCTCCCAGGAGAAGCAGCAGCGGGAGCAGCCCAGCTCTGCTGGCCGGAACAGCCGGGATTACATAATCCTGCCTCTTCACTCTTGCTGCGATCCCCACTTGATCCCTGAGCTAGAGCCGCACGGGAAACGCGGAAGGGGGGGTGGGGGCGAGAGAGATCTCAGTGTGTACGGTAATACCAATACACACATACACACGACGGAAACACGCGAACGCGCGCCCTCGCAGGCAGGCGCGCGCGCGCACACACACACACACACACACACACACACACACACACACACACACACACACACACACACACACACACACACACACACCTTGAAGGAATCCAGAGGAGTTCGACAGCAGAGGCCCGATTCATCCGATCCACCAGCCCACACCGCGGGGAAAAAGAGAAGGAGGGGGAGGACTCCGACGATCGAGTGGCTGGGCAGCAGGCAAGGCACTGTAGCTGGACAGGTGACAGGCACCGGGCAATCCTATACACACACACACACACACACACACACACACACACACACACACACCGCAAGAGCAGCCCCCCTCCCCAACACGCGCTTTCGCCAGGCCACCCCGGGGGTGGCGAAGGAGCCGCAGACACACACACACACCAGCTCCTCTCTGCGTCCGTGGGATCCGGAAACTTCAGTCAGGGCGGTGGCACTGCAGGGAGCCCAAGGATCGGGGCGGGGAGATGAGGCGGGCGGAGTAGGGGGGGGAGGTATCCTGCTCAGCTTTGCCAAAGAAGCGAGAGCCCTTCGCACGCGGTCCACTGCAGCCCGGGAAGGGCTCCGGCGCCCAGAACTTTCCTCCCGTCCCGTCCCGTCCCCTCCTTACCCCCACCCCGCAAGCCACCCGCCACCCTTCCCTGGCCACCGTCTACCTTTCCTGACCAGCTGCCCGCTTTCGGAATACCTGAGGCTTAACAGGCACGGCGGCTGCCCGGGCTCGGGGAGCGCAAGCGGCGTCTGCAAGGCTAGCCCGGCCGTCCTCCCTCCCGCGAGGAGATGCTGAGCAGCTGAAGCGCCGCAGGAGGACGCGGGTTCTTACCTCAGTCCCGCCTGCCTTCTTCGCCTCGGGGCCCTCAGCTGCCGCCCGCCGCCGGGCCCATACGGAAGCTGCCTTCTCTTCCGAGCTGGAGGAGGAGGAGGTGGTGGTGGAGGAGAGAGCGGGAGCTTCCTCTCGTCGAGGGAGAGGAAGAAGCAGGCGGCGGCGGCGGCGGCGGCGTCAAACCCGCGCTTTCCCCGCTCTCCCTCTACTCTGAAAGCGCAGCCTTCGCCCTTCCATGGCGGGGGTGGCGGCGGCGGGGGGCGGTGCTGCTGCTGCTGCTGCTCTGCTCCCTCACCTTGCGAGCTCCCTGAGGGGGCAAAGGCAGTCTCCCTGCGGGGCTGGCAGTACGCAGCCCTCTGCGGCACCGCCGCCGGCCGCCCTGCCCTCGTTTCCCACCCCCGAGCGGGGTGTCCTCTGCGGCATAGAGGGAACCGGCCTGCCCAAAAAGCTTCGCCTGCCCGCACGCGCCGCAGCCCGGCGCTCGAAAGTTGCCAAGCTTGCTGGGCAGGTCGGCTGCTTTTGGTTGGAGCGGGAGCGCCCGAGATGAGCGCGGCGGCGCAGCCCTGAGGGAGGCGGTGGCGGCGCCTCCGGTTAACCTCTTCAGGCCCGTCGCGTTGACGGGAGAGGGGGAAGAGCCCCCTCTAAAAGCTTCGCCTGCCCGCACGCGCCGCAGCCCGGCGCTCGAAAGTTGCCAAGCTTGCTGGGCAGGTCGGCTGCTTTTGGTTGGAGCGGGAGCGCCCGAGATGAGCGCGGCGGCGCAGCCCTGAGGGAGGCGGTGGCGGCGCCTCCGGTTAACCTCTTCAGGCCCGTCGCGTTGACGGGAGAGGGGGAAGAGCCCCCTCTCCTCTGCCTCGCGACACCCCCCCCCCACTCCGGGTTAGAAAAAGAGGCGACCCGGAGAGATTTTTGGCCTGAAGCCACCGGGCGCTGCTTTTGTGTGTTTTTCGCCTAGCCAGCACTCGTGCCTAACGCGGGGCTGCCTACAAAGTTATTTTTTCCCCCACAGCTCTCGCCGGGGGCCCGCCGGCCTCCCTTCGGCGAGGCAGTGACAGAAGCTGCTGGGTGGTGTGCTTTTTTGTTGCTGTTATTCGTTTTGTTTTGTT